CATGTGGAACACCACTGGGGTGTGCCATGGCATAGCAATTGGACAGATCAGTACGATGGGAAAAGCACTACAACAAAAGCATGACGACAGAAGGACCAACATCATAGAAAAGTGCTATAAAGGAAGGGGAGATGATTACTCACTCATATCAGAAGATGCCAAGTTCACAGGGGGAAGATTTACCAAGGAGGAATCACCAACTAGAGATCCTTCCCCAGTGGCAGTCAGCCCTTAAATGAGGTCTAAGAGAAGTGCAGCCTGGCTCCACCCCTTCCAGTTACACAGGTGAATTGCCTTCACCTGTGCTCCCACAGCTGACTGGATCCTTTCCCCAGGTGCTCCATGGCCGTGACTCAGCAGTTCCCATACACACGGTCTGCAAGGGAAGGGTATCACCATGAGGCCTCCTGTGGGCAGTGGCTCCTATTCTCCTCTGGCTTCTCTGTAAAAATGGGATGAAGGCAACCTCTGCCTACCGTTCCTGTCTTTTTTGTTTCAACTTACAATTATCTATTCTGTTAAAGAGAGGTTATATATGACATATATTGGAGCTACAACACAAATGGAGACCTCTATCTCAAGGGTCGCAAAGAATAATTTCTTGTCTGGTAATTTTGAATACTTGGTGGTCCTGCAGCTAAAGAAAACCAAGCTGCAGGACTTATTTCTATGACAGAAAGACACCCAGACACCAGTGACTGCCGTGTCTGTCAGATTTCTCATTCATTTTTCCCCTTGCATATTTGGCTTTTATAGAAGACAAGCTCCTTTCTGTTCATCCCACTATTGCCATCTTGTCCAATCCGTGTGCTGCTGAACATGAGATTCCTGTATTTGGCATGCCTGCAGGCTGGGGCTGCTGTAGCCCACAGTTTTTTCATTGTCCAAGCAGTTTCCTCCTTATCCTCAGGCACTTTTCCATAAGGTACCCCATCTCTAAATATTATTCCTGAGACTCCTGAGAGCTCTGCTCCAGGTGTTTCTGCATTTATCGGTGGAACTTCAACTCTTCTTCCCTTGTAGCAAGAGGCACAAGGAAGCAGAGTTTCACTTTCAGCACGAGACAGTAGCATGACTACCAAGCATGTATGGAAGCAGGACAGTCCCAGCGTTATCTGAACTGCAGAAGATACAAGTAAGTAACAAGGTCCAAGGCTAAACAAGCCAGGAAACTAGCACAGAGGGAAAAAAAATAGAATGGAGCTTGGTACTACCCCAGAAAGCTGAATATGAAAAACATGGCAACCCATAGGCAGAGCTGGTAGGGAAGTACAAATAGCAGCGATCACATCACGTGAACAGAGCCAGCTGTGCCACCACAGGACGAGGTACAGACATGGAGGCATGGGCTGAGTGCAGCTCAACAGAAAAATGCTCTTTCCAGACTGTCAGAAAATAACCAGCAAGGTAATTATATGCTCATAAACACTGAGCTGAATGATGAATGCTGAAACATGCTAGTGCAGAGTGAGAAGAGGGCTCAGGACATAAATATGCATACAAATTTCTATCTGAATGTATAGTTACATACAGTCTGATGTCTCTAAGCACAAAGCTTTGCTGTGTTTCAGCTGATGCAGTACATGGGGGCTGCAACTTGTATTTTGTTTTGCTGAACCACTGGGCTGGGAAACCAAGCCTGTGCACGATTACATTCTGCACCTTCATTCTAGTAAAAATAGTAGACATAATTAATAAATAAACTGGGGAAGAATGGATGGGAGGAGGGAGGAGACTCACATAAAATTATCAAATTCCAAGTTTCTGTGAATTTTCATAATCAGCCACAAAATGCAAGTGACTGCTCAATTAATGATAACACTTATAATTACTATTTCTCTCCTCACTAGGTTGTGAAAGGGGTGATGCCTTTTTTTTTTTTTTTTTTTTTTAAAAGCCAGTGGAAAAACACAAAACATCTTACTGTTAACTTCCTTGCCATGGAAAAATTATATGTAAATAAATAAATAAAATGTGTCATGGTCAAAACAATCTAACCAGTGAAACGAAACCCAAAGGTAGTGCTTTTCAAATGCATGAAAAGTAAATAGAAATAAAAGCAATCTATTTCATAGGGAGATGGAAACAATTTTATTCGGGGGAACGTTAAAACATCCATATACAATTTGAACAAATACAACAGAACAGTGTGTTCCCCAGGTTTATAATTACAGTATTTACAGGTTTAATAAGGCACTGGTTCTCAAAAAAGAACACAAATTAGTTTCTTAGTCTTTACATCATCAACCTTTTCTTTAATAGAAATAATTCTGTGCTAGAGAAAGGATAGCAATTGCTAGATGGCATCTCTCTTCCTCTTTGTTGTATTTTTTTTTCCTTTGTCTCCCTATGCCATCTTGTCTATGCCAGTAAGTCACTACACTAAGCTTTTCCCATTAGAAAACTGGATTACAAACCCGAAGGCATTAAAACCCCAATTAATTTTACCACCAACTTCCAAGCCCAAATCAATGCACACTGTGAAACTACCAAATCTGGAAGTGCCATTAAAAGTCTACAATTGGTAAAATAAATGTATTAATGTGTGTCACCGGGCACCTTAAAACTGTAATAACTTTATCTGGAGTATTGCATAAAGTCAGCCTTGCAGCCAGCAACTCAAATGTCACTGTGCTAAAAGAAATGACTTCCAAGCTTGCCTTAAGCCATTTTCAGGTCTTAGGAATACACCTTTATAGTGTCATTGATTATAGTGGATAGGAGATTTGAGGGGGAAAGTCCAGCCTTTTGGGTCTAAGAAGAAAACGAGCAGTTACTCACATAAACGCAGACCCTCTGCTTTCTCAGGTGTGTGTCTCCTCATCTATATATACACATATATATATATATTTTCCTAAATAGCACCGTTGCAGTGATTTGTCAGTTATGCATTTTCATAAATAAATATTATGTTTTATTTAGTGCTTTACCATCCATAATATTTTACTCTCAACCCACATACTGAAGTTATTCCAGACACCCAGCTGTATGTGCATATATATATATATATATATATAAAGCCCTAAACATTACCTTGAACACTTAACATAGACACTTTATGTAACCTATCAACCAGTACTTCAGATTTCTTCTGGACTGAAAAAAATAAGGCTCGTTCAGAGAACAAGCACACTTTCACAGCACACTGACAGCTTGGAGAGCCATTTTGTCCAGTAAACCATTGGCAGGAGGCACCAGCCAGCAAAACCCCCTCCAAAACACTTTCTGAGAAATAAATCATCATTAAAGTAAAAAAAAAAAAAAAAAAAAAAAAAGTATTTGAGGAAAATGCAACAGAGCAGGAGAGAGGCTTCCTGCTGAGTGACTGCTTACCCAGGACCTGCAAGGACTGGACTTGCAGGTGCCATGTGTGGGACCAACCAAGTCCACCACCTACTGTTATGAAAATCAGAACAACATCCCTGTTTCCAAGAGTTTTACCCCCTCATTTTACCCCCAGCCATAGTGGGACCAATCCTGGCCATTAACATTTCTCATTCTCTTTGTCAGGGCAAAAAAATCCAAGCCCCTTTGAGATTGGGTTTGTTTCAGAAGGGAAAGGGCACAAAGGCAAAAGGTAAAATGAATTAATGAAAATTAATGGAAACCCTATGAGTCAAGTCTCTAAGACAAAAAGGTACTATTTTTGTCCACAAATCTTCAAATAAAAGCACTCAAAGAGAGCAGCAAACTCAGGCCTCATTAATGTGAGTATTCTACTTATTAAAGACAGTGGAAACCAGCATTCCCCCTCTGGGGCAGGATTTGGCTTACTGTTAATTTGCAGAGATTTTCTTTTCGTGTTGCTTGGTATTTTTGGGTACAGGCAGGGAAACTGCAAAGCAAAAACAAAACAAACAAACAAAAAAACCCAGCACTCTAATTAATGAAAACCCTCTGATTAAACTTTAACACCTATAATCATGCAAGTCTCGCTGTTTCTCTTGAACCTCACACATTTTTCTCCATTAGCTTGAAAGAATTAAATGGTAATTTTTCAAACTAGAAATACCTTCAGGGATCCTTGAAGCTAAACCCCAATTATATTTACCTACCTACCACAAATAAATCAGTTTTGTCCAAAAAGGAAAACAAAATAGCATTGCATAAATGTTAAGGATAAATCCAACATGGCAATTATTTTACTTCTGAAATAGTTTTTTAGCATAATCAAAGCAGTATTTGTAAGGATCTATTTCAAAATTAAACTGAACACTACCATGTGAAACACGACACAGGAGGACAACAAAATTTAAAAAAAAAAAAGTGTAAAATGGTAGCTTCCATACAGCTCAGCTTTGATAATCTGATGAAGAACAGAGACCTTTCCATAGAAGAATACTTCATAGGGAAAATTTTGTTGTCCTGTTGCCTCTCATTCCCTCTTCAGTTTTTACATTGCAGTAATTGCTGCAGCTGTAGGATGGAGGAAGGGAGAGAGATAACTGTGTTTCCTGAGGCTCTTTTCTTCTAAAAACTCTTACCAGTGAGATGCTACGCAGTCTTAGCTTGGTGGTGGAAACTCTCGCTAGTGTGCAGGCTTCGAGGCTGCTGAAAAGCCATCAAAAAAAGTCATAATTTCATGTCAAAATGCTCATCTAAGTCTAGTGCCCTAAAAGTATGGTCTTAAATGTATACCTGCTGCAACATTACAGCTGCTGCCTGGTGATGCTAGCCACGCCTACTACATGCTAGGAATGAAGAGGGGCTTTGGAATGAATGCTAAGAATCAGCCCCTCACTGAGATGACAGCTGACATGAGGTGTTGCAGCATCACGCTGGAGCTGTGTCCCAACAGCTTTGGGTGATCCTAAATGAGATGCAACCTCCCTAGGGGCAGGCAACTGCAAGAATTCTGCCTTCCACATCTATGACAGTAGGGATGTAACCAGGCTCTGTCTGCAGCAGGACAATCCCCCAATGTGCACAGGGCTGTGGGACGATGGCAGGGAAGTGGCTTTCAGGATGATTTCCACTGCAGCTTCCCCAAGATGCTCAGACCCTCTCTTTTTCTAAATGCTGGAGTGCAAGAGTTTCATTATAAATGAGAAAGTCGCTTTGCTTACATCATCAGCACAGTTTCATCCTTTTTTTTTTTTTTTTTAATGTAACAATATACATCTTTTTAACTTCTAACCAAAGGTTTTATTTTCATAAAATTTAAAGCAGTATCTTTTAAAACAATCAAAATAATAATAACAATAATAATAATAAAATAATAAGTGGCTTTCATGGAAAGCAACATGCATAATCTTAAACCAGTTACTAAAACTGTATATCCCTGTGTAAACAAGGGCAGATAAGCCTCTCCCAACCTTGCATGCCAAAATTCAGCTGATTTTGCTAAGAACAGTCTCCTCAAAGCTGTCAAACAAACAGTTGCTCTTAAATACGACTGCACTCAGGGTACTTATCAGCACCTCTCCACGACTTCTGCCTGCAAGAGAAAGTCTGTTTCCATGGGTCTTCATGAGAAGGAGCTGTTTTTGCTTCATCAGAGCTTGATGTCCTGAGACTCTGACATTTTGGCAAGTGTTTTCTTGACTCGTAGGGCTGTGAGCCTGGAGGCAGGGTTATGGGCCCAGCACTCCATCATGAGCTTCCCCATCTGCCGCAGGCACTGTGAGGGGAAAAGAAAGGGAAATCAGTGGAATATGAGACTGCAGCTGGTGGCCAACTAAAGGGAAGTGAGTCTTTTCTAAGGCAGCCAACAAACATAGATGCTGGCTTTCAAAAGGACTACTCAGCCTTGCTCTGCACCTGGCACCTCCTTTCAAACACGCTAAAGTCTATCTAGAGATAGACACGAAACATGTTCCCTCTGGTGTGACCATCCTGCCTGAACGTTCAGCAGCTGCCATGAGGCTGCGTTCCTGGGCACACGTTCCCACAGGCTGTGGCACAAGTCACCCAGAGGTTGTTTTGTTTTCCCTCACATTCCCAAATGATTCATAACCTGTGTAACCTCAAATGTTCATCTGCCTTCCAAACATTCATCTAAAGGGTGCTGTTCCCAAATGACAGCTGTCTTCTGTGACTGTAGAAGACTTTATAGCATGAAACTGTACCAATTAATGGGATTAATGACCCCTCCATAGAATCTCTTTTGCAGTCAGCAAGTTTGGTACATCAACGGTTTGTCTCTGATTCCACCAGCACAATATTGCTTCATTACATTCTCTCGGACTGTTCAGGTTCTCCTCCACTCCCCTTACATCAAGATTTGACTCTGGAAAAAACTACATCTCTTTTGAAAGGCTGCATCAGTAGACCTCCTTACTACAATGCAAAGAAGTGCTGCTCCTGTAAGACATAAAGGCTGATCTTCTGTGCAGTCTGGATGTAGTGCTAGCACTGCGTATTAATACCTTAAGTATGAAATACAATATCACACACTAATGCTAATGTTAAATGATGCTAAAATCAGGTTTTCAGGACTGTACATCTGTGATCACAGAAAAGCTGTATGCTGACTCGATTTTAACTAGATAGAAGAAATCTGATTATTATTATTATTATTATTTTTTAAGGTAAAAACTCTAGGAATCACATTCCTTGTGCCAGTTCCCATTGAAGTTGCAGCCAGTACACCACGTACACCATCAGTGCACTCAGCACTAGGAATTAATTTAGCTTCCAAAATGTTCGGTTAACCACTGAATTGTTATTAATGCTGGGAAAAGAAAGCAAAATGAGCAGCAGATGAATACAGAGAGACTAGAAAGGTCCACATGCAGCCTGCTGTCACTAAGTGATCTGGTAGGCAGGCAGCAGCCTTTGGGGTTTTCTACACCTGCAGCTTCAGTGGGCATCTCTGAGAACATCACTTCCCCTCCTAAGCCTAGTTGCACCAGCAGTGAAGTTCCTCCTTACTCAAAATGACACAGAACTAGGTCAATGTCATTTACTCACTCTGATTAAAAATATTAGGAATTTGAGCCCATGCCCTGTTAAGCAACAAAGCTGTGTTTTAAAGGATGGTACCTCATCGCTGCTCCATCTGTTGGGGAATGAAGGACGTAGTCTTTTGATGCACACAATCTCTCGCATGTCCTCATAGGATGGGTCACTGGGCACAAGGTCGTGATATGGGAGCTGGTATTCTTCCACTATTCCTGAAAGAAAACAGCAGCTGCACATCACTGAAGAAGACATTTCCCACTAGCCTCTTGTTGTTGACCACACAGTAGTCACACCTCTGCCATGCACCAAGCTTTGTCCACTTTGTCTTACTATCATTCCATTTTGGCCTTTCCTGATTGAGTTTCATGAAGGCACTGCAATGAAAGAAGAGCTAGCTCATGGTTTCACTGCAGGACAAACTTGTTTTATTAACCCTTGCCATTCTTATCTAGTATAGGGCAGTGGGACATGCGCATCCAGCACTCCACATCTATTTATTACTCATCCACTGATTCCTCTACTCCCAGCCATTCCTTCTTCTGAAATGGACTTTCTCAGAGTTAAAGCAAAGATAGCATAAGCACAATTTGCTGAGAAAATAACTCTAGTGGTTAACAATTAAATGCTTCTAAAAAGGACTTCACTGTGAAAGTTCATGTCACAGTCAAGCTCCAACATAATCATTAGCTACTTGCCAAGTGAGACAGTTTCCATCATTGTTGTCCAGTCCAGCAAGCTCCAATAAATCGTGATAAAAAAGAATAATTTTTTAGCAATGGACTCCTATCAGAGCAATTATGCAGATAATGAACTCTGAATTAGGTTTACCTCATATCAGTGGATCTGGCACGTATTAAATACCTGCTTTTTCAGGAAATGGCAAAGCATTTTTTTCTTTACAGCAGCGATGACAATATCATTACAGACTGTATGCAACATCACTGCAATTTACTCTACCAGTGTGCAAATACAGGGATCACGTTGCTCACCAGTGAAATTCAGCTCCTCTCAGGTGAGCCCACAGCAAGCATTCAGCACAAGACTGCAAGGTTTTAAATATCAGTAAGGTCTGGCGAAGGTAACACAGGCCCAAGAGATGTGCTCTGCTCTTTACTCGCCACCAATCTGGTGTGTAACCGCTGCCAAGTCATTTCTCTGCATTTAACTCTCCTCAGTGGCAAAATAGAGGTAATAACAGCCATCATTTCTGTACTACACTGAACAATATGTGCAGAAAGCACACATGGCCTATGCAGACAAGAAGGGTTCTTCACCCTAAAGCTGCAACTGGCTGCATTGCTTCATCACTCTCCTCATGCTTGAATGCTCAATACCAGAAGGAAATGAGGCACATGACTGGTACAACAAATGATGTAATAAGTGCCACTTCCTCCTATTTTTTTTCTACTTGCCTTGTAAATTGATTATTTATTTTAAATAGCAGTGCTGCATCCTCCCAAACTGTTTATCTTGTTATATTTAACTCCAACAAAAAGAAAAATTCACTATGTTCTTGCTGCTAAAATAGCTGAATGCCTTCAGTCCAGAAAAAATTTGTCTTTAGAAAAAGCACCAAGATTAGTCCCAAACTCCTTTCACAGTGCAAGCATCTGCTGCCTCCAAACAAGCCACTAAAATACAGTATAAATCTTTGCTCTCGCAGTAGCATTGACAGATGCTTTAAAGTAAGTTTCAAGCAGAAAAGAGAAATTAAGAGAATTACATGCAAGGTTTATCCATGTATTTATTACATTAAAAATAATAAAGAGGAAAAAGGTTGCAATGGAGCATTAGGGCTTATAATCAAATCATAGCATTCACTGACACAATTAAAAGCAAATTCCCGACTATCAAATAGGTATGACTGTCATTTACCTCCTGACACACATCTCCTGGCTATCTCCCAGAGGATGAGTCCAAAGCTGTACATATCAGCCATGATGTATGACTGAAAGTGATTTCTGTTCAAGCTTTCATCCAGCACCTCAGGAGGCATATAGCGTTTTGTTCCCACACGCGTGTTTGGAGGGATGTCTACCTCATTTGTATCACTAAAGTAAAGAGAAGTAAAAAAAAGGCATCAAACATGCTATAAAAGTAGATTGAAAAGAAAGTAACTGAGAAGGGAGAAGTAGTAAATTCAGACCACATCCACTCTCAAACAAGGTCAAAAGTAGTGCATAATCTTAATGGAACAAATCTTACAAAGAAAGCCTCTTAGTGTGAACACAACTCTTCCTAAAAGGCTGACTTGCCTCAGGCAGTATTAAGTATCCAAATGCAGAACCACAATGGAGATAAGACTCAACAGGGATGCTGTAACATTTGTGAAATTTCATTAGCATTAGACTGAACTCTAATGCTGGTGATAACAATCAAATCTTCATTAAATGCTATTTTCTTAACGTACTCCACCACATAATGCTTTAGTCTTAGTAATTATTGGAGGATACTAAATAGCTCCAGCAGTATCATTTAGCTATAGAAAATCAGGTCTGCAATGAAGAAGAGTCTATGTTTTGTGCATGCATTATGTTTGATCTCTCTCAGCCTCTACACATCACAGAGTACAAACACACAGATGGAAATGTGTAAAAAAATCTAACCAAAGGCGTTGCATCTCACACACCGACCAGAAGAGACAATGTGTTTCTAACAGGAAGCAAACACCCATTAAATGTGTGACTGGATTTTTTTTTTTTTTTTCATTATTACTTAAGATTCAACTGTAGCAATTTTGAAGTGTTCAAAAGTTTAGTGTCAGGCATACACTGAGGCTTATTTAGAAAGGTCTGTTTCCCTTTCCTCACCTTCAAAATCTGAATCTTTTAATGTGACAGATACAACAAAATCTCAGAGAATAATCACACAACTGTAATTTTCTTTACCTACAAGTATGAAAATGACACATAAAAGCCAGACCTGAGATACAACCAGTCACCTGCGCAGTCATTAAATCATACATATGGTGATTGCATTTATGTATCCCTCCAAGAACTAACATAAATCTAGTGACCTGCACTATCTCACCAGATTTTGAATTAAATGAGAAAAGCAAAAAGCTTTACTGAACTCATTATTTTCAATGCAACACATCCCATTCAACCACTTCTTTTCTGGTTGTTGCCTGGGAAGTGCTAAGGAAGGATTCTTTACGAAAACAAGCTATGCAAAGTAAATTCAATTCAGATAATGAGAGCTACATAACTCACCTTTTATAGACACACTTGGTCTTTCCCAGTTCTCAGTTCAGACCTAAGCAGTATGCTGCCCTGTATCTGTCAGGTAAAGTACGCCTACAAAGGATTAAGTTCTTCCCTGAAACTTTTAGAGTGAACAGGGTATTTTCCTTACCTATTGTTTTCCAGGCCCCTGCTCCCCAATGTAAAATTGTTCATTTCTCATCTCCTACAGAAATGTCAGCTTCATAAAGGGAAGACCTCACCAAGAAAGCTGGCAGATAAGTTGCTAGTGAGAAGGGCACATTAAACTATCTTTTCTTACATTCTGAATAATTTCACTTCAAGATCTGTAGAGATTTTTTTATATATACATACTTAAGGGAGCCCACAGTTTCAAAGCTGACCTCTGAAATGGAAACTTTCAGTCTATGGCCACATTTCTGTGCTTGGAAAAATCAGAGCATTCGTAACACACATCTCCATTGGGACCAGTGCTGAGCTCAGGCTCCTCGTGAGCAGAGCAAGCAGCTGTCAGAGAGAAATGACTTCTTTATGAATCCCTGGAGCAAGCAAGTCCTACTTGTCTGCTCCTTCTAAGTTGTTTAAACACATAACCATTTTTAAAAATCAAATTTAAAAGCCATTTCAAAAATCAAATCTGTACTTTAGCAATTTGATTTGTTGGAAATGAAACAAAACACAGCCCAAATGGGGTGCTTTTCAATAAATCCCAATTAGCAACATGTGCAAACGATTAGTATTATTCTATATAAGTTATCTATGAATTATTTAGTTATCAGACAAGCTGAAAGCTTCAGCGACGAGTTTACTGTAGTGAATTCAACCTGTCTGTGCAAAGTCCTTTTAACACAGGGCAGTAATATGCAGGTTGATACTGAGCATTCAGTGATGAAAACTGTATGTTTACACAAATGCAACGGATGTGCGCAATTACTGGAAAGCAACTGTTTCTACACCTGGAGTATGTGTTTATGCAACATTCACCCAGGCAGCTGCAGCTCAGGTACGGGTGAGCACTGCATGGAGGCGATGCACACAAGACACAGGTGCTTGCTCCCACATGCAAACTCATGCATACAACAAAACCAGCATGTGGCTCTTACCCAACTTTCCCTCACCCTGATTAGCTCTACTCACCTAATAAATTTAACAGCCAAGCCCAAATCTGCTATACAGCAGGTTCCATTCTTTTTCACCAGGATGTTCTTACTTTTTAGATCACGGTGGGCAATAGCTGGTTTGCCTTGGGTACTGAAGATCTCCGTATGTAGGTGGCACAAGCCACTAACGGAGGAATAAGCCAGTTTTAGCATGCCTTTTGTGTCCAGGGTGGTTGATTTTAGGTAATCATAAAGGGAGCCATTCTCATGATAGTCAGTGATGAGATACAGTTGGGTCCAAGAGCCTGTGCCTTTAATGTCTGCTGCAATGAATCCTGAAAAAAGCAATAGCAAGTTAATACTTCTCAAGGCATTTTTGACTGCTCAGGAGTCTGAACTGTCAGCCACTTCCATATTTTTTATTTTAACAACATACTCAATTTCTTTTACGTTACTTACATGCAGCTATGCCTCACCTTTAGCCCTTTACACATTTGCAGAAAGCCTAGATACTCAAACACAGGTGGCAGAGCCAGATGTCTGATTTTTCAAGCAATAGCCATATCCCCATTATTTTTTACCTGCACAGTAATCCTTCCAGCTTTTTTCTTTTCAAAAGTGCAGACTAACTGCAGAGCACAGCAGGTAACAAAGCGCATAAGAAAGGGCATCAGACAATGACGAATATAAAGTAATTAAATTTAAGAAAGCCATCACTATCAAATGATGATCTTTAATTTCACTCACCGAGAATATTTTCATGCCTCATCAGGACAGTTTGGTAGATTTCTGTTTCTCTGAACCAGCTGGCCTCTTCCGTGGTAAAAAACACTTTGACAGCTACCTTTTCGCCACGCCACTTTCCCATCCAGACTTCCCCATAGCGACCTTTTCCAATCTGTTTTACCATCTGAATCTGTTTTGCTATGGTCCTTTGAACCTGTAAAATGCCAAGACTCGCAGTGAGAACTCGTTCTGCAGAAATTTTCTGCCTTCATCTCAGTCCTTCATTTTCTCTCTGAACAGCAGAATACGCAGCAGTTGCAAAATAGATTTCAACAAAATTTTGCCATATGGATGCTCCTCATCTCTCCCCAAGAGACAGCACTAGTGAGGCCATCCCTGTCCCTGAGAAGACGCCTTCCTATCTCATTTCCAAAGGCTTACCTACTCAACACTTTTGAGACAGTCTCAAGATCACTGAAATTACTGTGAATAGCTTCCTATGACCTTCCTTGAAAATCCTATGACTAATAATTTCAAAATATTAATTTGTTATTAGGAGCCTTAACCATTACTTACCCAGTTTGGATCCAAGTGCCTACATTCATTTTACTAGGAACTGATGTAAAAATGAAAGCATTTGTCCAGCTCTAGCAGAAGGTCAATGCATTTATTTAGCAGCTTTGCAGAGTTATACATCACATATTGACAGACTATGCATAGTAGATGGGCTGATTCTACATTTAATGAACTTTTATGATGACAAAAAGTCTTGGACAAATGGAGACTAATATAGAATTGGAGCATGTCTGAAGATGATGTATTTCAGCAAGCTCATAGAAGTTAAAGTAGATGCTGCAACACAACCCATTGGTGTTCATGGTTGACTCAGCCTCTCCTTAATGTAACAGGACATTAAGATGTCACCACAGATAACAATTTTTGGTTTTGTAGGATTCTGCAAGATTTTGCAATTTCATTTTATTCTAGGGTTTTTCGTCTGGCCCAGACTATGGGTAAAACCTGGATAAGAGTCATGTTGACTCTTGGTAGGTTTTGCCACCATCCATACACAATTCCTGAGAAGCTTAACGCAACAAGTCTGCACAGTCTGAATCTCTATGAAATCATAATCCTAAGAATTTCTGCAACCCTGGCTAACAGAAATGATCAAACTCTGATTTTAAAATCATTTGCTTCCACTGCTATCCCTGGAATGACCATTGAAACTGTCAATCTGGTAATGCAGAGCAGGACTGCCACAATCCTCCTGAAGTATGACTGCATGTCACAAGATGAATTCAAAAGCTATTAAGGTCTATAGCTATTTGTTTTGTAAAGAAATTACTGTTTTCCATGTTAAACAATTCAAAGAAGAAAAATATAGAATGACATTTATGCAAAGCTATTTCAAAAGTTCCAGCTTTCTTCTGTTTCGGTTTACATACAATCCCATTTTTTCAGCCCTGCAATGTGTAACTAGGGTTCCAAGATGGCTGCAGTGCCATTCTTTTTTATTAACATCAGTGAAAGCCAAAACCAGATCAGACTGAATTTTTAAAATTGACTCATTCTCCTTTATACTCTTATATAGTGATTGAACAATAGTTACATTACATTGGAATTTTGCTTTAACATTTTGTAATGTCATTTTAGCATTGTTGCTTTCTATTCCGCCCATTTTAAAAATGCATCCTGAACAATAATGCTGTTATCCCAAATAACTCAATTTGTGCAAATATATGTAATGGCATCATAAAGTACATGAAATTACAATACTTAATGATGAAAAGTTCCTTATTATATTACATTAAGAAAATGAAAAACACATCTCTGTTATGGGTTTTCAGGCGGCAGAATACTATGTGAAGACCTTAACTTGGTTTGCTTTTGCTAGAACTAGTCAGATGATTTATTGTGAACAATTTATATTATTTTAAGGAATTTAGCCCTCTCTGAAATCTGATTATGATTTTTGGAACAAAGCAGTTAATCAAAAATGCTAGATGAACTAATTCTATAAGTATGCCAAATGATGTATCCATGCAAATTGTTTACAGTGATTTTCTTTACTTATTTCTAGATTTTGTTCTGCTGTTTTAGCTGTGTGACCAACCAGGTCCCTGTGTCCCATTGTTTCCTTTCCTTGACTGCAATCAATCCAACCGCCAACAATTTCTAACTGCTGCATTCTGCTTTTCTGATCTTCGGCTAAATGTCTCCATCTAATGCAGACTAAAATTCAGACAAGCAAACTTTTTTAATCTCAACATTTTGAACAGAGGGCTGGGGTGCAGTCTATTGAAAAGCAAAATTCATTGGAAGAGAAATTTGAAAAAAAACATACACGAAAAGGCAGAGAGGGAACTCTGATTTCTCTCTCATTTATGTACTCAGCATTTTATCTCCTTTCCTGGTTTTGAATGTAGGTTGACTGTGGCATTAGCTTTGCATAAACATCTTGTGTTGGGCAGTGGGGTTCTGTTTGCTCATGCAGACTTGACTGTACCCGAGCTTATTGGCTCAAAGCTTTTTAGTTACAATTTGCTGTACTTTTTTGGTTTAAAATTTGATTGGCAGCATTTGACCTGCAGCAAACTTTTCTGTCAAACAGCCCAGGAAAAGAATGCTTGCTGAATGTCAAAATCTAGATAAAATCTTGTTTAATGCTTATTTTTGATGTAATATCTGTCCTCATTGGAATAAATTTTCTGCATAGGAGGAAGACAATACTGTTTATCATAAACTTACATTTTGAAATAAATGTGTGGGTTATGTTCCTGAAATAATAGCTTTGGATGTTTCATTCCTTGAATAAAAAATAAAGCAGTTGAAAACAAATTCTTCCACAATATTGTCTAGAGCATTATTGCTAGGCACTTCCTATATGTTTCTTTCAGGCATGGGCCCAGAGGTACTAAGCTGTGTACTTCCAGTGAGCATGTAGTGGTTGTAGCTGTTTGGGAAGCACAACCAACATTTATTATTATGGGCAAGTTTCACTGTAGCTCTCATTTTTCTTCTCTTCCACAGAAAATGACTATTTAAAGGGAAAGTTGAAGAAAAATGTGTGTTTTCATAGGCAAAGAGAGAGCTAGGGGCAGCAGTAAGACCACAGATCCCACCTTCAACCAGCTGAGGCTCACCAAGATGGAAAAAAGTATAAAGCACAAACTGTCATAACCAGTTTTTTTTCCCAGCTTTCTTGTCCCAAGGGCATTCTTTGGATGAAATATTATGCCATGAACAGCTACGAGATCAACCAGGCCACCTGCTACCCATGTGGGCTGCTAGGAACACATCCTCTCAGAGGAAAAGGGCCAAATTCCTTGTGTTTGCTCTAATTACAGTATTTCTTAGAGAGCCATAGAAACAGCTAGATTGAAAATGATCTTCAAAATCATCAAGCCCAAATTCTGTCACTATAACAATTAGCTATAAGTGCAGAACAAGACCTTGATGTGGAAGGAATACAAAAAGCAAAACAATAACATTAAGAGTCCCTTACAGCCAAATAAATTGGAAACTATCATTAGGAATGGTCCTTGATATTAAGTATGATCCATTCCTTTCCATGACAGCTTTCCTAAAAGCCTAAATGTAAATGATGGAGTTTTTCCTCAACAGAGGGAAATGAGCATGGCTTTTCTATGCTCAGAACCATTCACAACACACATTTGTCAGCTTGCTTTTTTTTTTTGCTTTTTTTTTTTTTCCTCAACAGCTATGTTGCCACAAAATTGGATTTAAAAAAAAAAAAAAAAGTTAGTGCTCATCTTAAATGAGACTCTAAGCTCTTACTCCTGTCAGAGCAAATCATAGAATGGCTTGCATTGGAAGCGATCTCAATGATCATGAAGCTCCAAGCCCCCTGCTGCAGGTAGGGCCATCAACCTCGATATTTAATACTAGACCAGGCTGTCCAGGGTCCCCTACAACCTGGCTTTGAACACCTCCAGGGACAGGGCATCCACAACCAAACTGAGTCCAAACTGACTCCACTTTTAGCCAGCCACTCAATCTGTCATCTCATTTCTCAAGGAAATAAAGTTTCCCATTTATTTTTGTCTTTTAGGTTTAAAAAACAAGATGTAAGGGCAAAAAAAAAACCAATAGACACTACTTGGAAATTGGGCAACATCACCAGTAGCAGGGCCACTACAAACTAATCAGTTTGGAAGAGTCTAGAGACATATAATTTCTGAAAAAAAGAAACTGAAATCTAATTTGTGCCGTTCTTTCAGTGCTAAAAAGCAACAATGGCCCTTGAGAAAACAAACTGCTGAACAGAATTGTTTTCCTACAGAAAGTAAAGCCATTGCTTTTTCGGCATGTGAGCTGAGGGGGTTCAGCCATCCTGCAGTCAGTTTAGAAATAATGGTAAAGCTCACTCCATCCCCATGCCTTTAACCTTTGAGATTACCTCAGTACAAGGTAAAATAATTCATTCTTGACTTCTGAATGCAAAGTGAAGTCTGCACATAAAAAGGTTCCACATTCGATGAATTGCAATTTCTTTCACATAAAGCCTACGTGTCAGTGTTGGAAAAGCTATTGTGTGTTGCACATAAAAAGTGAGAAAATAAGACTGCAGGCTAAATGCTGTCATTTGCAGTGGGGTAAATCCTGATAAATTTCTGTGGTCTCTGTTGGTCTCTATTTCCCCTGTGGTATTCTAAGTTAAGAGAGGAATTAAAAAGAAAACAGAACAAGTAAGATTTTTGGCTGAGTATATATGAGGAGAAAAAAAATTCTCCTGATTCTAATGCTGTTGTTTGTCAGCTTAAATCCCTGTCAATTCTAGAAGAAAATAAAAAACAATAATAAATGAAAGACAAACCTTAAAGACACAGTGCCTCCTTTCAAACATTTAAAAAAAACCCATTTCTTGCACATCATTTTGTTTTCTCTCTTTACTCCTTTTTTCCTTGTGAACTGACATTCAGATAATGTTGCTTCCTTACCAGGAGAGGGAGCCCGGAGCCACTGCCGGAGCTCTGGGACTGCTCAATCAGATCCTTCAGGGACTCTCCAGGGGGAATGTAGGTCTCATCCTGCTCCAGTCCAATGCTGTAGCGGGGCCTGGCCTCTTGCCGCTTATACCTGCCATTCGTACACCAAAGTTAGCTTCCAATATAATGAGCACAGGTACAAAGAGTAAAGAACCTTATCCTCCACATCAGCCTCATATACAGACACACAGCTTCCTCGGCTTCTCCAACCAATATTTTCAGTTTTATTTCTAACAAACCGTTTTCAGCATCAAACCTCTACGTATAAAACTCAAAGACTGTGCAGCGTGCTATGAGCTTGCAAAGCTAAGAGATGCTTTTCTTTCAGAACCTTAAAACACAGACAAAATAAATACAAAATTTTATTTACCAACTGCAGTGGGTATTTTAAAAGTAAAAGGAGGAACAATCATGGGACCTGGGAGTATTTAAAAAACACAAAGAATTATTTAAACATATGTTGATTATGATGATATTCTAGATGCTTACATTCCTGTATTCTCCTCTTTTTTAAGATCCTCACCACATAAACACACTGAGAAGCCTCAGGTTTTTTGTTCTGTATAAACTTTGTACTGTGGCATTCTCAGCTTTACTAAAGAGCAATCTGTGCTTCAAACCAAAAGGCTTCTTATGATGCTGGGTGATAGATTATACATGGAATACATCACTGAGGTATGTCTGTGAATAACATGAACAAAGTACACATTCTTTCCACATGATAAAATTACATCATTTTTCTTTTTTTTTTTTTTTTTTTTTTTTTTCCCATGAAGCCAAACTTAAATGTTTCAAAATTTTGACTCCACCAAAAGACAAAAGTTAGGAAGAATGCTAATGAGGTGATAAAACGCTCCTTATTTACCTGAAGTAGCAGAATATGATGATAAGCACCAGAAGTATACTACAGACAGTCACTGAGATCAGCAGGGCCTTATGGTGAATGTTTCCTTCAGCAAAGTCTGGAGATAAAACAGAGCAGCAGGAGGAAAGAAGTGAGAAAATTTGGAAAGGGAGATGGTACAAAGTCAGTGTGAAAAAATGCACATCAAGCACAAGGTTGTTGAAGCTGTGGATGTCCCATCCTTGGAGGTGTTCAAAGCTAGGCTAGAACAGTTCTGTCCCTGCCCATGGCAAGGGGGTTGGAGATTAGATGGTCTTTAAGGCCTCTTCCAATCCAAATCATCCAGTGATTCTGACTTTGTGATTCTACTGCAGCTCTGTACATGATGCCTCTGGATTTCACTGATGTTTTGTGCATGTCCTCATTGTCCCTTACCCAGCAGAGCAGAACCAGTGCCCACAGGAGCCCATGTGTTGATGCATACTTACTCTGTCAAAGCATGGATTTGCAAGTCCCTGTTTGATTCTGAATGAAATCAATTAGGAAAATCAAACCAGGACTCATTGTTTTGTGTCTTAACATATGTGATCAGCAAGAACATGCAAAGATCTTAAATTCATATCTTAAATCACTGGCATCTGATTGAACAGTTAATATAACAAATAAATAATTGTGTTTATCCTAGTAGGGAAACAGAGGAGACCACCCAACCTCTGAGAAGGCAAATCGCTGAAGACTTTGTAGGCATATTTCCAGCACTGAAGAATACTCCACCTCTCTGATCCTGCTTTAACATTTAAGTGGGCATTTTTTCCCTCATTCATTCCACAGCAGCCCTATGTGCCAGAAAAAGCCATACTGAGGGGTGAAACCATCCTTGCAGCATTTATTCTGTAAAACACTTTGAAGATGAACCATGTCAAATAACTTGAGGAAACACCACAGCATGAAAACTACTAAGATATTTCAGTCAGTCTTTGCATGGAAGACTAATATTGTGCTTTAAAGGGCATTGCTAATCCCTAAATTTGTATTCTTGACTCAGGCAAGTGATACTGACCTTCATCCATGCTTCCCTGCTGTACACCAAAGATATTTGGCACTGCTTTTCCTTTAAACATCCCAGTCTCAAAATTACACATCAGCATGTACATACACAAACCATTCTCCTGAAGTTGCTATCTAGATTACTGCAAATGAGGATAACAGTTCCTGAAGCTCTCCCAGCCCTGCCGCCTTGCATCTTTCACGCTAATGCTGAACACATCATAAAATGCAAGCACTCTACCCTCATTCTGGAATAGTGCTACTACATTTCAGATTTACAAGGGTAATGAGACAAGGAGATTCCTAAGGGACTCTTGGCTTACTGTCAGGCTCTTTTAGATTAAAGATCTAATTTCTCCCTCTGTTTTTGTGCCCAAACAATTCCTTCCCTTTCTTTTTTCACGATAAACAGAGATTACCTCCCAGTGCACCTTTTGATCACGCTGGTCATGTTTTAACCTGCCATTACCTGCACCCAGAGCATTAACAATGTAAACATTCAAGCCACAGCCAATGCTTTTGAAAGGGGACACTGACATGATGTCTATCAGGAAAACATCAGAGCCTGTCATTCCCACTGCTGTGGCAGATTTCTACCTGGCCTGGAGCTGAAACAGAGAGCCCACTGGGGGAATCCAGTTCTCTCCTGTGATGATGAGGGCTACTGAGGAGGTCCAAAGGCTCTATTTCATGCTCCATAGGCAGCCTGGGTCTGCCAACCACTACCCTCTAAAATATGTGGTTTGCAACAGTGGAAGATGTTGCAGTGCATCAGCTGAGGAGAGGATAAATAGGGATCTGCACAGATGTGTGTAGTACTAGTGTTACACTACAAGAACTTGAGATGTGCCAATATAATTTACACTGACTATGTGGATTTGATTATGTACACGTGGGAGAAGGATGATAAAATGACAGATCTTAATTGTACTGTGATCATTTTAAATGATTCAAACACCGTGCCCAACATTACTAATGGGCTTCTCCCATTCAGACAACTAAACATGGCTGTATGTTCCTCAAGGCCAGATGGCATCTTGAAAGTGTTGCTTAGCTCTAACACAAACTTGAGTCTTCAACAGAATTTTTTACTAAGTGCAAGGGAAGCATGCAAGACATGAAGGGCGTGGCAGTAGGTGACAGTTCCCTGCGCACATCACAGTGGGCATGCAACCAGATCTCATGGAAAAGGAGAATGACTTCCATATGTCTTCATATTTATTTGGCCACATAGGAAGAGAGGCTACAGAGATGCTAAATGGGCTGTTGTCTTGTCCTTCAAATACTTCCTACTGGCAGAATTTTGCTTGTTGGCTTGAAGACTTCATAAACCAGTTGGCACATGGACAACAACATATAGAAAAACTGCCTCTCTTCTGCCACGTGTAATGTCTGTTTGCCATAGAATCATAGAATGGCCTGGGTTGAAAAGGACCACAATGATCATCTAGTTTCAACCCCCCTGCTATGTGCAGGGTCGCCAACCACCAGACCAGGCTGCCCAGAGCCACATCCAGCCTGGCCTTGAATGCCTCCAGGGATGGGGCATCCACAACCTCCTTGGGCAACCTGTACCAGTGCATCACAACCCTCTGTGTGAAAAACTTCCTCCTAATATCTAACTTAAACCTCCACTGTCTCAGTTTAAAACCATTCCCCCTTATCCTATCACTATCCACTCTCAGCCGTTCTCCCTCCTGTTTATATGCTCCCTTCAAGTACTGGAAGGCCACAATGAAGTTTCCCCAGAGGCTTCCCTTTCCCAAGCTAAACAAGCCCAGTTCCCTCAACTTTTCTTCATAGGAGAGTTTCTCCAGCCCTCTGATCATCTTAGTGGCCTGTCTCTGGACCTGCTCCAAGAGCTCCACATCCTTCCTGTAGTGGGGGCCCCAGGCCTGGACGCAGTACTACAGATGGGGCCTCACAAGAGCCGAGTAGAGGGGGGACAACCCTCCCCCACCCTGCTGCTGGCCACCCCTTTTTTAATGCAGCCCAAAACACAGTTGTCCTTCTGGGCTGCATGCGCACACTGCTGGCTCATGTCCAGCTTCTCATATACCAGCACCCCCAAGTCCTCCGCAGGACTGCTCTCCAGGAAATCTTCCCCCAGTTTCTATAAATACCTGGGATTGCCCCGACCCAAGTGCAGCACCCTGCACTTGGCTTTATTGAACCTCAGTAGATTTTCATGGGCTCATTTCTCCAGCCTGTCCAGGTCCCTCTGGATGGCTTCCCTTCCTTCCAATATATCGACTGCATCGCTCAGCTTGGTGTCATCCACAAACTTGCTGAGGGTGCACTCGATGCCCTCGTCTATGTCATTGATGAAGATGCTGAAGAACACCTGATGAGGGACACTGCTTGTGACCAGCCTCCACTCTGACACAGAACCATTGATCACAACCCTTTGGCTGCGTCCAGCCAACCAATTCCTTATTCACTGAACAGTCCATCCTTCAAATCTGCACCTCTCCAATTTGGAGAGAGATGTGGTGAGGGACCATGTCAAAGGCCTTGCTAAGTCCAGGTAGATGACATCCATCGCCCTCAACAACAAAGTGAATACAGTATTTCACTCAAGCTTCCCATGTGAGCTATCTGCTAGAGTTACCCCAAGTACAGGAGGCTGCTGAACTGAGGCAAGCTAGTGCTGCTGGAGACTCACTCCTCTCTCCTTCTACAGATGAGGATGCTTCCCACAATGCAGCAGGATAAAACCACTCTTCCTGCACCATTTTAGGCAGCTGAGACCATCTCCAAAGAGAGGGACAGGACAGGACTCAGCCATGAGTCCATTTTGTCTCTGCAGTGGGTACCAGTAAGTGTGAGATGAAGCAGCTCTCTGCTCTTTAAGACTGGTGCTGTGCTTCTTACTGTTATGTTCCTTGGCAACTGCAATGTGCCAAGCAGCGAGGTTATGAGAATAAGCAGCAGCTTCCAAGGAGGCAGCAGTGAGCTATGACTGTGAGCTCAATGAGGGGAACACAAAACAAACAGTAAGTTTGGGAGGCTTCCTCAGGTACCTTGGCTCACACATAACAGCAAAGCCTAGCACACAGCATGTTTAAAACAATTTTAGGTGTAAGAAAACATGGATGTGTGCAGGTATCAGATATGATCAGCAAGAAAGGGAGAAGTGGCAACAAAAGCGGGATCTCGTTACCCCAGCCTGCCTCTAAGTTACTCTTCTGTGCTTTCTCCCTTCTGCCCCTCACATTCACCCCACTTTGCCATCTGCAGGGTCACGCTGATGAGCGCACTGCAAATGCCACACAGCAGGTTGAAGGGAGAAGTTCAGGGTGTCAAAGGCTCTCCTCCCTCCCTGTTTCGGCCAGTTCACAATGTTAGGATTATCCAAGTAAAAATGGCAGTGAAATCCGAGGCGTGGAGACTGTGTGCACACATCAAACCCAATCGTTCCTCCAATCGTTCCCTTGCCCATTCATCACTAGCTCTACAGGCAGGGAGCCAGACACGGTGGCACCACCACTTCTGCTTATACAGGCTTTAAATCAGTAAAGATATATTTCTCCTTTCGACTGGTCTCAGTCTGCACTTTCACAGGGATTTCCAGGAATATCTTTTATTGTTTAAAGCAGAGGTGTTATTTCAGACCCAGTTATGATTTTCATTTCCTCAATAAGACAAATACACAGCTGGTACAAGGATTTTGTGGTATCATCTGGCTATTTTAACTTGCCAGGTTTCTACCAAGATGAGCTCAAAACTTAAGCTTGGCTCTTACTTTCTTCCATCTTGTTCAAGAAAACCCTGCTTTGACCAATGCTAACTCTTTGAGCTCCCACCCTCATGTGCACAGCTCTTCTTTCTTCTCACAAGGAGAGGGTAAAACCGTTTTTCAGCACATGCCAGGTCTGGAAAAACACTTCCAGGACACAAGCCGCTTGCCTCTCTGGAGATGTTACCTTGGTGTGCGGGTTAATTTGCAGTTCAACAACCTCTGACCTGCAGCTGGATGATCTCCCTAGGCTCTGTTTCCCATGAGATATGACCTTGGATGTAAGTTCAGAAGCCAAATTTCTGTTTGTTTTTTAAATGCCAAGTAGCACACACATTTTTCGTGGAATCCTGGAGGTCAGGAAGCTTCCTAGAAGCTTGTTTTTAGGTTAATCTTCCTTTTGTCATAATTCCAGCTTATCAGAAATGTAATGTACAAGTCTCACAGCTCTCATTCAATCGTAGCAACTCTAAAAGTTTCCAATAGACATAATGATCACAGTGCACAGTACTGAACACTGGCAATAGTGGGCACTCAGTATTTGTACACAGCTGCACTGAGAATCCTCTAAGTCCAGGCTTTGCTCCGAGCTTTTAAACTAGCATACAGCCATGGCACATAAGAACAATTCTGGCACCAGGAATGACATATGTGCGTAAGGCTTTAATAAAGGTGCTGGCTTCAGCACTGCTCAGCCACATGGAAAGAAGCAGTTTCTGGAATATGCTGTCAGGACACTAGTAGTGCACAAACTTAGTTAAAATAAAAATCCTCAGAATACACTGAATGATGCATTGTCTTTTGTTTGTCAGTATAAAATAGACATTTTGCAATATAAAATGGCTAGAGTCCTGCTCCAACCCTATAACATTATTCTTTCATCAAAAAAATCTATCTGCTGTTTAATGGGTCTGCCACCACAAGTGCCCAAGTGATACTTTTTTTTTTAACCCATGTACACACACAGCAAAGTCAACGTTGATCCAAACAATTTCTGCCACCATAAAAATCTTGTTTTACTGTTTTCTGTATAAGCAGCAGATAGTACAGCCAAATATCTAAAAACTTAATAAGGCAGATGCCTAATGCTTGGCACTGATTCGGTACTTTTAAGTAGATTTAACATAGAATTAACTCAGCAGAGAGAAGAAATCATCTTCCAAACTGTAATGATATTTACTGATACACTAAGTAAGTGTGAACAAATATTGACTTCCTTTTGGAGTTTCTCCCTCAGTTCAAATAACTTTTTAAAATGAAAAAAAAATACACAGCAAAATAGTACATAACTCTCACGTTGGAAGTTGGAATTTTATGAGGTTTCACTGACTTAATGACTTGCTAGTAAATAGTGAAATATTTACATACCACCCTCCACATGCCTGGCGCTGCAGCCCATCTGTGCAGAATTTCATAGGTGTGAAGGGAATATCTTACATGAGAGAAGGCTTTCTATGAGCATGCATTTATGTGTAAGTAGCTGCTGTTTGCCAATTTGAATTTCCAACTCAGAATGCCATGATACAAATTCTCCTGCAACCCTGAACATACTCTCACAGACTAAATTCCATGCTGACCACCACAGATCTTGTCCATTGTTGACAGTGCCAAGAGTTCATGAAGGAATAATGTTACACTCATCTCAGGAACACATTCTTTAAAATGTAATCTGCCATATCCAGCCAAAATAGTTTTAGAAATTTTCAGAAAGCAATGTTTAAACAAAACAAACACACCTAAACCTGACCAAGGCTTGCCTCAGAATCTACTTAAAGTTAAAACACTTCCATTTGTTCTTAATAACAACACACACCAATAAAATAATAGTAATTGCATGAGTTTTCACCTTTCATTCTATTTTGAGTTACATTTTTCAAGTAGAAAATCCACTTCAGTGGATTACTGGGTCCTGTAAGTAAGAAACACTTATGGATTTCAGTCAGTTTGAAATGCTAGATTAACCTCGAGAGATCTGGTCCCAGATGTGTGTGCTGTTATGAACAGATAGAGGATTCAATTTTATTATCAGGCAAAAACTATACACTATCCCTGCCACATGCAACTTCAGTCTTTGGGATGACCACTAACAGCCAGCAAATCTCTGAAAATATTGAGCAAATAATTCGTCTGGTGCTCACTGCATGTGAGCAACATGAATAACAGCAGGAACCTGCAACCATGGGTCAAGACACTGCTCTCTACTTCAATAAATCCAGACACAGTTTTTAGTGGGGCTCATCTCTCTAATCATGTACATGCGGGTGCCTTGGTTATGGCTTTGTTTCTTCCTGAGACACAAAGGTCAGTTTGGGCCTGGATGGACTTCCCTTTACCTCGATTTTTCAGTGGAGGCAACGTCGGGTGAAGATATTTGTTACAGTAATCTTGGCCTGTGCAACATTCAATAGATCTTCTTTGGTGTGGAATAGGAGTGTCCTGAAATACACAATTTCAGAGAAAGGAAAGTAACTAACTGTGTTGTAAGCAGACACGCTCATTCTGACACTGCAGAAAAAGACGTTTGGTAGCAGCTTTGCAGAATATTAATTTGCAGGATATGTGGAATAAGGATTTGTGCCGCTGAATGTATCCAAAAGCAAGTCATCTAAATGATTAAGAAATTAATCCCTCTCACATATTTCTATTGATGCCTTAGTGCTGCAGAAGGAACCTATTGTCATTAAGAGCTCGAAACAGAGTTCTGAAAGTCTCCTGTGTGCATCAGTTGGAGTTGCAGTATAAAATAAATAAGCATATTATAAAAAATAGTTTAGCCAGAATAATACAGGAATTGCTGAATTGCTGCGTGGACTCATTTACCTGCTGCTGCTTCTCTCATGGAACTGAGCAAAATACCTTCCATTGACTTTGAAGCAGCCCTGGCTAAAGTGGCCCTGTACTCAAGTAAAATAATTTAAGGACAACTGTAGAAGTTGTAGAAGCAATTCCTGCTGCAAGACTTTCTCAGAGGGGTGATCATCAGACTTGCAGCATTGGAAATAGAAAAGCACTTTGGAACTGCATGTAAGAAAAAGGTTGCTAAGGTCCATAAAACAGCATCCTGACTAAATTTACTCTGGGACTTAAAGAATTAAATTGTATTTCTCTAAATTCAAACTTCATCTGAGTAGGGCTGTTGCTAGACACAACACTGATAAAAACAAAACCTTAAGTTTTTGAAAGGAACAGCTATAACATCGCTGTCATAAACGTTCTGGGATATAAATGCAATCCCCTCAGCAACTTTCTGCCAAATGAACAGAAATTGAGCACGTGGCTGTTTTAATATCTGCTGACTGCACTTCAATTGAAAGCCATCAAAATTCAAGCAATACTCAGGCAGCCAACACTTTCTTACCCGACACTGGAAGTCCGAGCCTTCTAGTCCTAGACATCCTTTGGTGACCAAATGTCCACCAGAATCATCTTCTTCTATTATGGTGAAGCAGTAGCCATCAGTGCTGAGGATTGAGAAGAATGAATCAGTACAAGATTCTGAAGTGAAAAACATGCTGTTAAATACAGTCTTCAGCATTATTCATTGGAAGGAAAATCTGTCATTACCAAAGCAACATATTTCCTCCAACAGCATGACAAAACACAAAGGGATGAAGCAGTATTGCACGTGTGGAAAAAGGCAGGCACCATGCAATCTGCTGTAACAGCACAAGACGGCTGACAGCATGACATACTCACCTATCCAAAATTTCACAGCTACAAAGCCCACTGACATCTTAATTCTCCGTAAACACCTGCAGCCATTAACATGTGAAGGCTTTGGAAACCTACATAAATGCAAACAGCAGTGCTACAGCAGGTTTGCCCTGCGCATGGGAACAAGGCATGGCTACATGCACCATGGTGGGAATATGGAGAAAGAAACATTCTTGAGATTCTCGCTGTGAAATATTATTAAGAGTGATTTGCGATTCCTGTTTTAGAAGTATCACAAACTGCAATGCTGGTGTGTGAGTCCTTGAGTTATCATCAACACTCTTCATAACTGTTTACTTGGGTTACAATCCTGAAATTATCCAAAACACTCCCATTTACACAACCGTGTCCCATGGAAGATAAGTATACCAACAGATGGCTAGATGGTGCTGGTGATAAATGTCCTTCCTTGATGAAGGTCAAATGCCTGAATGCTGAGGGAAGGGGAGGAGGGTACAAAAGGGGGACTTCATTTTACTGAGACTGCTATGCATTAATTTCTAATTACTGACAGCGAGCATGTAGCATAAGTGAGGAACACAAGTTGACTGATTTGGAGGAAAAACATCCAGAAATAAAAAAAGAATTATTTAATCCAGTACATTTACGTCACAAAAAAATATTTCTTTATTTTCATGGGAAAATAACATTGGTTATTACGCTCAGCAAGTATTTTTCTGAGGAGAATAAACTCAGTTAAAAGAAGGAAATAAAAAGAAAAAAGGATTAGAAAATTTAAGCACCGCAAAATTTCAGATGATTTGCTCCCAGTAGAAGGAAAGGAAGTCTAACAGAGCAGCAAGAGAAAAGAAAATAAGATGTAGGATTCAAAGGGTGCTGTTACACATGGAATAGATAAACACCATTTGTAAGTATTAGCTACAGGACAGACAGATGCTGGCTGGAAAAGAATCATGTCAAACATTTGCAGTAGCATATTTTTATATTAGTGGTGCAGGGTCTAGCCACTGTAAGCTTATTACTTCAAATAATAATCTATCACTCGTTATTGACTTCTGGATTTGAAAAGTAACCAATTGTATGTTACAAATTGCTTTCTCAGAGAAAAGACAGCTAAGAGTTCTACTCCTCTCTGACACTGTGCATACGAGCAAGGCAAAGGAGACAGCTGCCCTTCTGGGCAACAACCACCTTGATTTCATTGCCAAAGCTTAAGATAGGAACGATAGGATTGCCAAGAAGAGAGACTGTAAGGAATCCATTAGAGTAGAATATTATATTAGATTAGATTTTATTTGTTTGCATGGTGCCTTTGATTCAAAGTAATGAGTAAGTGTAACCCAAGGGACAGAGCAACAAAACAATAAATTGCAATCCAGTGAAACACAAAGAAGAACTACTCAGCTAGCAATTCACAGCAAAAAACAAAACTCTGTTCACCAAAAGACAGGGGCGGAAGGAAAAGCCAAATTGTTTGCAGAAGGGAAAAAAGAAGCAGGAAAAGTCAGCAATTTTATTTCATTTCTTCTGACTTGTTGTGGGACTCTGATCCTTTGCTCATTTTAGAAAATTGAATTTGGGATCCTCAAGCACTTCAGTCCCTCTGAAAATTTTACTTCAGATTTAAAAAGACAAACAATATTACACTAGATAGAGCAAAGCATAAAAGTTATAAAGCTCCAACAATAAGGGTAACAATAAGGGTTGCCTGTTCTTTACAGGCAACAATAGAGTAATGAGGGAAACGCATGAGAAAACGAAAAATAGCAATGCCAATCAGAATAAATATTGGTTGCAGTTGATTCTAACACTAAGAAAAAATAAAAAGTATTCATACAATATAAGAATTCTTTGTTTTATTGCAGATTTGGGAAAGAGATAGAGGTGACTCTTCTGAAAAGAACAAAGTCTTTCATTCCCACCCTCCTGCCCTGAGCTCCTCTCCTGATTCACAGGCTGTCCAATGAACTGCGCAATGCAAGGAAAGGGCACAGCATACCCCTGCTGGTTTATTGACTTACCTGCCTCAAACTTTCCTTATTCTAACAAGTTAGAAACAATTTAGCTGTGTATCATCTCTAATTTGATGTTTAGTTTGGTGACTGCACAAATAGAAACATATGCACGCTGCTGATATATACAAAGCAATATAAAAAAAAACATTCTCCACTTCCAACCAATTTGCACAATTAGAATTCTGCATAATTTGACTCTAAGAATCTGAGACTGTTCTGTAAAGAAAGAATTCGTCCCGATGAGTACCACCCCATACACATCCACTAGCCTGTTTCACTAAAGCATCAGCTTCTTAAGGTATGATGCAGGAGAGCAATTGAATGCAAGTTGGACGTGATTGCTAATAAGCACAGATTTGGTATGTCACACATTTGCCAAGAGTGAACTTTCAGAGCCAAGACAAATGCCAGGGAAACAGAGCTAGTCTGTAGCAGAAACATTGGCAGGCACTGATAATAGAAGGTGCTGCTACAATTACAGATTACCTGAGCAAAAGAGGTGATCTTAACCAAGAGCTTTACTAAATGTCAGAAGAGAGGAACAGAGGCCAACAGTTCTGCAGCTGCTCACACAGATGTCCTTACTGGCCAACAGCCATTGCTCACAGAAGATGCAATACCTTAGCTACCAAAACTTGCCTGCTGAAGATTTCCTGTCCTGCTTTCTATATGCAGTCAGGCATAGCAATATATAACTTGGAAAAGCAACATTGTTCCTTCGTGTGATTTGGTGCCTATGACAAGCAGATGGGTTAAATAACTTGGTGAAAAGAGTCCTTACATTTAATTCTGTTTGCAATTGAGTCCATATGGGTGTTATGTTTTTATCTCCTCCTCCCCGTTATACTCCTGGTTTTGATATCAGAAAGAACTACACCATCTTTTCATTTTCATCCTAGGGAACATGGCAAACTTCTGTGTTGGTTTTAAAAAATGATTAAAAACTGTTAGAATATACAATCTCCAGAAAGTGAAAGTCCATATACTTCTATAAAGATTGGATGAAATGATCTAATTCAAAAATTGGCTGGCTGACTCTCAGTTTTCATCTATTTCACCTATTTTGTCATATCATTCACTTAAGGAAGATGCTGAAGGCCAAATTCAGCAAAACAGTGCCTTTGGATATCATCCATTAAACAAAGAGCCTCCTGTACATGTGCTCAGTACAGGCTAATTTTCCAGAAGAAATAACAGTTAGTGGCTGTGCATCAGGGAAGTAACATGAAACCACGTGGGAAGGAGAGCATTACACAATTGTCGAGCCAGATGCACCTTCACATTTGCACAGCTACTCCAAAGGCAATCAGAGACATACAGACATGACAAAGCATAGAAGATGGCCCACAGGAGGACAAAGTTCCTGGCTCCACTAGTCTTTGAGATAGTGATGCTGGTCCTACCATGTTCTGCTGTGTGTCATACCCTTTGGCATCACACTGAAACCAATACGATGATGGAGAGAGTAAGATCATCGGGGTGTTCAGTGACAATCTGTGTCTACTACGTTACACACAGAGCATGGAGGGGAAGATACTCAACATATCTTAGCAGAATATCTTCCCATATATCCCATTTCCCATATAAGTCTATCCATCAATATTATCTCTATGTGATCTTCCCAGCCATGACTCAGTCTATCAGATGTGTCGTACACTCCTCTTATCACAGAATGGCCAGGGTTGGAAGGGACCTCAAGGATCATGAAGCTCCAACCCCCTACTACATGCAGGGCCACCAACCTCCCCATTTAATGCTAGATCAGGCTGCCCAGGGCCCCATCCAATCTGGCCTTGAACACCTCTAAGGACGAGGCATCCACAACCTCTCTGGGCAGCCTGTTCCAGTACCTCACCACTCTCTCTGTAAAGAATTTCTCCCTGACGTCCAACATAAATCTCCCCTCCGTCAACTTAAAACCATTTCCCCTAGTCCTCCAGTTATCTACCCTTTCAAAGAGTTGATTTCCCTCCCCTCTGTAGGCTCTCTTTAGATACTGAAAGGCTGCAATGAGGTCACCCCGCAGCCTTCTTTTCTCTAGGCTGAACAAGCCCAGCTCCCTCAGCCTGTCCTCATAGGGGAGGTGCTCCAGTCCCCTGATCATCTTTGTGGCCCTCCTATCACAAATCAGATCACAGTTTTCCCTGATTTGTGGGTCACAATGCCGAATTCAAGACACAATGCCAAACTATCCAGGCTACATGCTAAGTATATGAGATTTGACAAGTCTACAGATCTAGTAGCATAACCTTAGGTATGACAGTAGCACCAAGCATAGGTACCTCTCTGCACATTCACCAGGTCTCTCCAGTACCTTTCACTTACGTGCAAAATCCATTTCAGGAAATGTGAAAACTATGAAGAAGGAAACTACCAACATAAAGCTATATACTATTCCCTTTCCCCTTTATTTTTTCCTTTTCTTTCTTTCGTGTAAAAAAAATTAATGGTAGGGCAGCTTCAACATGGATACTTGCAATTTTCGAATGTTTTCTTGGTTTAAGTAAATTCAATATGCAAGGGAAATCTTAAGTACTTCAACACAATAACACCAAAGTATTCCCACATGCTAAAAAAAGCTATCTGAAAGTAATGCAACAGGTCTCTGTATAGGGAAATTGGACCTGCATTACTGTTTAGCATAAGGCATATATTAAAAACCAATACAGGCAGCCTCTGAGCGAAACTAAGAACAAGCAGTTTCTGAAGCATGGTTCAAAAGGGTGGGATGGGGACCTGGACCTTGGTTTGAGCACTCAGGGAGAAGTCATCTGCTGAGCCATGTATGGGACATAAGGCTGAAAGGGAAAAGAAGAAGAGTGGAGCTTGCAAGGGTTTTTCACTTTTGATTTTACCCATCAAAACAGACTTATTTGCCTCCTGTGCAGCCCTGTATAAAGGCTTACATTAACAAATAAAAATAAGCTAACATGCAACATCTCATCATAGCTCCCTCATTAGGAAGTGTTTAATTTTACACTAAAAATTGAAAGTGACTAAAAGAAAGGGTGTTTGAACTGAGTGCTCTGGCCCACTGTTAAATCCTCTACATTTCAAATTACATAGAAAATTCAATCCCATTATCCGGAGAACATGAAAATGAAAATAAAATCAGTCAGGTGAATTATCACCTCTGGTAATGCTGAGAAAGCATCTTAATTATTTTATTGCATTAGATAACCAGTGCTACCTTAAGACACAGTTGGGCAGAAACCATAAGAAATTAAATTCTATCACCCCGATCCCTAAAACTGTCAGCATTTATTTATGAACGTAAAGAGAATACAACTAGGAACCTAATCAGCTCTGCCTTTATTGCGATCCCATTACACTGATAGCCAATTAAATCTAACAATACTTTTAAAAATATGCAACTAATTTTGACTAGACACAACTGCCCACACATTCATTTTGCCCATACAAAACTTAAAATAAAACAGTAAAATGAGGTCCTGGTTGTTTCAAAGCAGCTCTGAGCTTCTTTATTGAATGCCTTTTATGGACTGCACAGATGTTCAAAAGAATGAAGTTCCAACACATCACAGGTTAGCACACCCTTTACAAGCAAAGAACCATGAAACTTTTACAAAGACCTTAATCATCACGGCCTCAAGTGCACTAATGAGCTTTAATTACCCTGAGTGGTACCCTCGCACTGCCCAGCCGCCCGTTCTGCCCAGGAGCTCTGCTTGACCTCAGGCTTAAGCACTACATCCCTTCCAAGCTATGGTGAGAGAGTGCCTACCTCTAGTTCCCTCTCCTGCTGCTCCATCCTGGAACTAGCTGGCCCCTTGCCACAGCTATCAATAGACCTAGATCTGCCGGTGATTTTAGGTACACTGAGGGGGACAGGGTGTTAGTGGGTAAGGCAACAGCTAGCACTGGTATCACCCTCTGCTCTTGGCTTGGTCTACCACACACAGCAGTGTCCTTTCACCATCCCCCACCACTGTCTCTTGATGAAATGCCCCTCTAATGAGTCTTTCAAAACTGTGCTCACGGATTGATCCATTTTAAAGAACACTCTTCAAGCTAGAGCTACCAATTTGTTGTTGATAAAATAATGTGCATTTGCAGCTGTGGTATCATCGATAGTTTCCTAAAGGACTATTGCACGTAAGTTGAAAAAATACAGAGAAAGGATAATTCTGTATAGAAACACAGAAGGCTGGTCAAAGATTTGACACAGATGTAGCTTAAGAATATTTATTTCAAATTAAAAAAAAAATACAATTACAGAGAAAACTTTAAATGGCCACCAGATGTCCTCATTTTTACATAAACATTCAGGCTACTAGTTGTCTGCTGTCCTGATAGATAAATATTTGTGGTAGCAGACCAAAAACTTCAGCAGGGATGGGAGACTGCTATTTATAAGAGATTTCTATTAGTGACTGTGGTGGAACTGCCTCTTTTATTCCAGGGCTTCTAATTTAGCCACAGCTGGAACTGCTTTTCCATTGAACTTTGGGAGCCCTTCTCACTCTTGGGCACACAAAAAGCTCCTCTGCTCTTGTGGAAGCCTCAGTGGGAACAGTGCATGATGCTCTGAATCAATGTAGCTCAGAGACCTGCAGACTCCAGTACAGCTCAAATCTTAACAGACTGACAGAGCTGCCAACAGGGTTCAATTCTTATCAAATATTGAAAGCTTTTAGTGACTCTATCTGAGGGAAGAAGATAATTAATGCAATAACAGTTAATCAGGAACAGTTTATTTATTCTTCAGACAAACACAGCACAATCAATAATATTTGAATTTCAATATGGTGTAGTTTTCTTTAGAGTGAAGTTAAATGAGAATTCTTGAGTGCTTTCAAACTGTGCCAATAGCCGTTCAGGCTAGCACGAAGCACAAAAGTTACAGGCTAACTAGTAGAAATCTCTCAAAGCATGGGGAAACTCATAATCCCTGCTCACTTGACTGGGCTTGGTCAAATCTTCTGAAAGCCAGATACTGGAATGTTAGGCTTAGAATTTCCTTGTCACTGTAATGTCCCTTTTCACTTTTCATCCTTAATTCCAGCTAAGCATTAGGAATTTAAGACGCAAAAGATTGACAAAGTTAAGCAGGTGCAGAGAAGACAAGGCATGTTGTATGCTTTGTTGTCCTTTGACCTTACTGCAGCTCCCATATCAAGGTAAGGGGAGCTATGGCCACAATCACTATCCTGAAAAGGATTATGGCTGGTAAACCACAAAGGTAGGGTATTTAATTTCAAATAATCTAAATTTTTTAATTTTAAATTTCCCTAAACTCTTCAGCAACTTATTGTTGTTCATTGGGCAAGTTGGATAGTGCTCAGGTAACAGCACAGGATGGGAAAGAGCGGATAAAATATGCAACAGAATACCCAAAGTTGGAGTATAAATTGTTCAATGAGTCAGTTCCTTAACATGTGCTTCATAATTAATGAATTCAAGTCTTCTGCATCTTTCCTGTTGATGCATGCAAGCCAGCATGTGTGAAAGCAGTGGCTCTTGTTGGGCAGGGACAGGAAAACTGATTTCTGCTGCAGGAGATCTGCAAACTGATTTCAGAGGGAATTTTTGTAGCTTTTTTTAAATGGACTGCCATTTGAGCGCAGTTAGGTCTGACTTCTAGCTATATATGGGTTTGAAGAAAGAAGGTTGAAAGGGGGAAGTAGTATTTACAGCTGTCATCAAAAACTGTGATACACCTCAGTGTGAAACAGCAGGCTGAGCTGAACCAAGTCAAGCTACAGAACAACATTCATAAAATCCCAAGAAATAGCACTTTGTCTTCAACAACATTGGGTTTTTCCCTTGTCTATCTTCTTAACGTGCTGCCTGGAAGACCTAGCTAGCACTGACACAACGTTAAACAGTCTCACCTCAAACATAACTGCACACACAATTGGCTCATCCAGGTGGGCTCACATCTGTGTCCTGCTTTGATGCTTCCTGCAGTTGCACAACTTCACTAGACTAGAGTAGGCAGTATCTCCAGTATTTTATTTGTTTTTAAGTAAGCAGAATAAAAGGTTGATATTCATGTGAAGCAGATGAAGAGTTCACCCTACATGGCTGCAAAAACAAACAGTGCATTCATCTCAAGCCAAGAGGGGTGTTAGATCAGCACCCTAATTCAGCAGCAACAGTTCATGTGTTTGCTGCAGGAGCACCCTGTTTAAAAAGTCAGAATGGGGGAAGGGCAGCGTGCTTCCACTACAGGTACCACTGGTCCACTCTGCTGTATCAGGCAGTGCTCATGCTGAGCCACCAAGGCACAGCAGGATATGTCCATCTTAGGGAGTTAGGACCTCTGGGGAAAAGCAGAATCCAATGCAAAGAAGTTTACAGTATTCTAACCAGTGCCTGAATAAAGACTGTAAGAGTACGGTTAATATCAATAAAGTATTGAGGTTCTCTTCACCACAAGGGAAGACTTCTACCATGAAACAAGATGTCTTATCAACCTATAAAACACTTCTGTAAAAACACATACAAAAGAGTAGGTTTCTTATGATAAATGGTGCTTTATGAAGATTGATTATAAATTTATGAGCATTTATAGACACTTCAATATATTTCCAGTAAGTCTCCTCTCATCAATTGCATGCACCCTTTGAAAACAAACTAATACATTCAGAATATATCATATATAAAAAGAATTAATATAAGTATTTATCTAAAACTTGAAAGATGTAAATACTGTGAAAAGAAAATATAGATGTGTAGCTGACATCTAGGCAAAAAAGAAACAAGCCAGCTAATTTCTAAACAAATCTCTTACAGATTCCTGCTCAAACAAGAACTAACACCCAACTCGAGACTGCAGAATCATCACAAACAGATTTTCTCATGTTTTACCACCAGATAGATGCTCCACAAACCTGCAGGTGCTGTTGACTGAGTCCTCAGGACAATGGTGGTGGCACTGACATGACAGCTTCTTCTGTGGAGGGGCAGGTGCTGTGCCCTCACCATCTTCTTTTCTGCTCTCCATGCTCAACTTGCTGGAGCTTAGCAAGGGCATCTTGTCCAGAAAACTAGCAAGAAATCAAGGAAGAGAAAAAAATATTTAGGCAGGATTGCAAGACATGAAATGGAGGCTTTGAAGTATTCCTTCACATCAAATTTTGAGTTATTTGAACAGTTATTTGCTACAGAAGAATTTTCTTTAGAAGTCACTAGTCACTGTGGTGTTTGAGGCTCACTGAGCCTCAGTGGCCTTAGATTAAAGGTGCTGATGTTCCAATTCAGCTGCTGCCAGTGTTGCAAATAAGAGTTATGCTGGGCTTTACATACTGTGCAGTGCAGCTTTTCTTCTATTGCATTACATAGCTCAGATCCTTGATTGCACCTTTGCACTTTGTTTCTCTTTGTACTTGGCACACACCTTCACCCACTGAACTCTGTAACACAGACTGGGATTTACAGCTCTGAAGGCAGAACAGAACATGAGTATAATTCGGAAAAGATCCAACAAAGTGATGCTCTCTCAAGTTCAACAGAACTTTCTGTCACTGAATGGTATAAAGGCTACTCCTAAAAATTTTCCTTGTTTTTCCATACAAAATACTGTAAACAAAGTAAAATGCAAGAATGCGCCCTAAAATGAACAGAAATACATGATTACTTCTAACAAATCAGAATACTGAATCTCCATGAGGCTGTTGCAGTACAGCTGGAGATGCTGATGATGGGCTAGGAGCTGCTTAAGCAACTTGTTCTTTCTCTTACAACATTTCTTCTCATAAATATCAGCTTTCAGTGCTTGTGAATATTTTAATTTTCAAAGACAAAAATGAGATCAGCATGAAAAGCTTCAGTAGGCAGTTTCTCACTTTCCTGGTGCTTCCCTGTAAAGAATCTTAACTAAAGGATCATTTATGAACAGCTGTCTCCAACAGAGTAGTAGATCAGGCTTGAAATTCTTGATCTACTGTTAAATCTTCAGAAACAATTGGCATTATTATTATTGTTTTGGTTGAATGCTTCTTTGTCTCTAATTGAAATCCTTCCCAAATTTCCAACACCAGGACTGATATATTGCGGAGCTGAAAGAAAACTCCATCCTTCTTGACACCCTAGAGAAAGAAGGGGTGGGCAAACAGGCAGAGGGGATAGGAATAAGTAGCTGCATTGGGGCTGGGATGGCAAGCAAGGACTAGAACAGGCTGAAATATCCTGAGGTAGTGTAAGATTGGAGCAAGAGCAGGCAAAGGGCATGGTAGGAATTGCCTGCACTCATAGAGGCACTGGCAACAGCTGGCAGATGTGCTCTCATCATTAAGTGAGCAAATTGGGGAATACCCTAGCAAATTGGGGAAAAAAGATGAACATAATTCACACTGAGGAAAATGAGGCTTTGTGTGAGAACAGTATTATTTAAAGAATTTTTTTTTTGAAGATTACAGCCCTTTCACTCTTTACATATTATGATGATATATGAATTACAACCAGATCAAATTATAACATCTATGAAAAAGAGCTTAATAATCAAATTTGTTCAGTACCTACAAATTCCATTGAAACCAACTGGAGGTTTTGATTAGCTCACCTTTTCTGAAAGCCAAACCACAAAACTTATTACAAAGCATACACAAACTGTGGGCTTGAAATCCTTGTGCTCAGCATCAAAATATTGCTTTCACGACGCAACTGGCTGCTGAAGACTAGTACATTTAATAACTATTAAAAAGTAGAAAATTAGAATGAAATGGTTTGGTTCACTTGTCTGATCATTTCCTCATTGCTATCACTTAAGATAAAGAAGCAAAAAAGCATTTTATTTCTCATAACATATTTATGATATTTTGATATGTAGCTTGTGTACAACAAATTAACATCAACAGAGATTTGGTCCCTGGGTCACAGGCTTAGAGTTTATTAAATAAGTTCTTTCAGTCAGCAGATTGCCTGTATTCTTACAGTAAATGGGAAATATTATATTATTAATATTCCTGTCAATAATTTTCAAATTTCAAGCTTGAGAGGCAACAAAGTTACCTGCTAACTCATGAGGTAGCTGAGTGAAATCCTATGCTCTGTGTAACATTTTAATGTTTTTTTCTACAAGCATCTACAATTCCATTAGCGATCTTTCCTCAGCAAAGGAAGAGTGAAAAAATGAAAGCATTTTATATCTACCACTTAAAAAAAAAAAAAAGTATTTTCATGTATGTGAAGGAGACTGAATAACTAAATATCTACCTCATAATACATACAACGATAGGTCAATTCCTTTTTCAATAAATAAGACCCCAATACAGTCTGTGTCCATCATTCATTAAGAATAAGCTCAAGAAGAGCTTCTGCAGAGCTTGCTGTAAACAGCTTACATTCCTAGACCTGTCTGTACTTTTAAAATATTTTTTAAACAAAAGACAAGAGCTGCTGAACTAAGATCTGAAATCTAAAGTAACATTAAAGTAACAGGTGGTTCTTTAGAGGTGTAGTACCCTTCTAGAAAACACAGGACTAGCCAAGCTGGCATTCAAAGCTACACTTCCTAATTGTGTGAAATAGGGGATAATCTAAGATTTTGCTTTCAACTCATGCCCAGGGTCAAAACTAGTGGAAAACCATTGCAGTTCAATGCCCAATGCATACAGCCAAATACAAATAAAAGAATCTCATATTCTTAGACTCTTATTCTTAAAAGAAAATCCTTCTCACTCTATTCTCTTGTTCCTCCCAAGCCTTAATATCCAGGCACCTAGCTTAAAAAAAAAAAAAAAAAAAAAAAAAAAAAAAAAAAAAAAAAAAAAAAAGCAGATCTCCTGTCTCTGAAATTCAGATGTCTCACCCTACATTAACGAAATCTCCTGGTCAAAGTTGAGTTTCTGTTTGGTTTTTTGAATTCTACGCCTGCCTGACTCCAGAGCAGAAAGATTATCAGAAGTTCCCACCCTTAAAATATAAAGTGTGTAGGATGAATGCCATCACAACATGAGCTTTCCATGGTTTGACAACAAGTTCTTCCTTATTTCAGGTGTCAAACAAAGTTTGGATGGCTAGGTCCGTTATTCTTGCCTTTGCTGCTGTGCTGTAACAAGCACATGCTGATCATGCAGACCTGACTCTGTCTAGCAATTAGAAATCCTCTGGACTTTGAAAGTGCTCCCCAGGAGCTATATTCTAGTGCCATTAATGCAAGCAATAGGTCACCTGCAGACCTGAACTTCTTCATCAAATTCAGCTGCTCTTCTCAGCTTGCCCTAAGAATTTCACCAGGCTGTACAAAGTACCTTACACCACAAGAACAGGCAGTTGTCCACTACGGTTCTTAGCCTATTGAGAGTGCTGTTTGTGAAAGATTTCCATCTGTACAACTACAACTACTCAACTGTGTTGTGATTCATTCTTATGAATGAAAAAGAAGGTTATGTGTGCCCAGGCATGCCTGCTTTTTTTCTGTAAAGCCTGGGTGACTACAGGAATGACTAAAGTTTCTAGTCTAAACCCTCATGCCGACAAATAAACCTTCTCAGAAATGTTCTTCCATTTTGATTCCCATCACTCCTGGACTTCATGGTAATCAAAGATCACTAACACTTCACTTTTAAATATTGAATTCTCCCTTCCTATGTGTCAAACCCTTTCTGTTTTTCAGTTTGTTTTGCTATCTTCTTTCTAAAGATAGAAAAGTGATTGCATACCCCAATTCCATAACCCCAGTGAATTAACAGTCAGAATGAGACATATTTTACTTTTTAAACGCAGTCTATAAGATTGTGATACCTTACACACAAAATGAAAACCACCTCTTTTAGCTTCTTTGCATTTACCCATGTAAGAGCATAAGCTTCATATATGGAGTGCATCTCCTGACATGAAGTCAGTCCTAGAACTCTCTGCTTTGGCTGCCAGTAAGCACTCCAGCCCTTGCCAACTACAGCCATAGTTATGTGATTTGGACAGGAATTCCTCCACTAGAATCTGGATAAAACCCAATAACTCATTTCACACCGGCCCACAGCCATCAGATGGTAATGACTTTTGGGCACTTCTCCGATTCAACAAACTCAGTAATGCAGGAGGTGAAAAGCTCTGTACTGTTACTAGAATCCAAATCTTAAGCCACACTGTTCCCTGAGGATGAATAATTAGTAATAGTTACCTTGACAGATTGGCTTCTGTGCCACAACCACGTGATTTACGTGCTAGCCATCCAGTGAAAAAGCAGATCTTCTACATTCATTGCCAGGATAAAAAGTCAGACTTGCTTCTTATTAAGAGATACTAAGGGACAAACTAGTATAAGAAGAAGAAAAGAAAAAATCAAAGTAGAGTGTTCACTCCTCTCTCTACATGAAGTATTCAAAGCCTCGTAAAATCAGAGTACCATCCATTCATATTTTCCTATGCCAATAACAGCTGGCTACAGCATCCACTGACAGTGTGCTGTTTGCCGATTCAGAGGTTTACCAAGGAAGCTTTGTGTTACTGAAGAACCCTTTCAACTGCTTCTTTGTGCTGGACATTATACACATTAAATACACAAAAGCATTTGAATAAGAATTAAGGAAAATCTTCTAAATCTATCTTTGATTAAAAGGTGGCAACACAGTTAGTCAAATTGATAAAATTTTCATTAAGCCATAAGCTTACTTTATCTATAGCCTGCATTGCCCTATACATTTAGCAGGCTTTTCATCAAATCATTCCTTTATTAAAATATGAAACTACCATACAACACTATGTTGGAGTTTCCCATGCTACATCATAAACTACAGCCTGATGACTTCCCACCAAGCCAGTGTTACATCACTGACACAATTGTTTTAAGAGAAAGGGAAATAACTAACTGCTAACTCACTGCACTTTACAGTCATCAGATAAAAGAATTTCCATGGGATATTTTTTGGCAAACAGTCAGCAATGAAAACACAGGGTGGTTAAAGAAGCTGAAATAAATTACACCTCTTAAGTCAGCCTGATCCACTGTGTAGAATAGTCAAGAGGTAAAAGTAAAGCATTTTTTATTGGTGACAAATAATAAAGAAGGAAATAAGGATCATGACAGTTTCTCTTCACGGGATAT